TTGTATGCTTAAGTAAATTAATTCGAAGAGAGACAGTCTTTAAATGCCATGTTTGTGATGATTTGGATGCCCGTTACTGCACATACGATCGACCGCGCGCGGTGATACGAGTCAGTCCTCAGTTGAACGTCGCTGATATTTCAACGCGGCAGCTTAAGTAGAGCGATGATGCAAATGGATTAAGCGATAGCAAGTGGTGGAGATTCGACACGCTATCAATCGAGCGCGTAATAGTGTTTTAGGCGTACCTTCGGTTTGTGCAAAATTTTTTACAAAAAGAAAATACTCAGAGAAACAGTGTCCACGTTCTTATCAAACTTATCATTGTACAATATCCCGTGCCAGTCATACGGAAAACTCTCTTGTCGTAGGGAAGTGAGAACAGCCTCGTGAAAACTCTCGTAGCCATAGCTAAGGACGTACCTTCTCCCGTTTGATGTGCTTGACGATATACTGGCAGCTAGCGTCGACGAGCTCGCGAAGTTCCTCGGTAGGCAGAACGGTCTTCGTGATCTTGCACACTTCCTCGAGCGGGCCCAGAATGGTTTCCGGCACCTCGAAGTTCTTCAGTTCCTCCAGCTTCTCCTTCAGCATTTCGTAAACAGGCAGGGCCTTCAGTTCGTTCGTCAGCAGGGCATAGAACTCGTTGATGTTTCGTTTGATCTGTTCGAACGCCACGAGCACGACCTTGGCGAAGTCATGAGACAGCTCGGAGACCACGTTGATCGCGTCCTTTATCTCCTTCTGGTGCTGATTGATCAGGTCGAGGGCCGCGTTGAGATAAGTGCTGGCGAGTTTCACCGCGGCGTCGAGGATGTCGACGACGTGACGGGATATCTTCTCGGACGATTCCTTTAGTTTCGGGTAGATCGACTTGACGGCTTCCTTCAGGGTGGCTGTCAGCTCGTTCAGCTGTTGCTGAAGCTTCTCGAGCCCCTTCGCCACCTGTTTCATGGTCTCGGTGATGGCTGAGACGATTGCGCCGAAGTATTTGTTCCTTCAGAACAGAACAGAACGGACGATCTTTTCTTTATCAATTTTCACATATCCTTGTTTCCTGTTCGGTTTAATTTCATATCGTCTGACTGTGACAGTCATCACAATGCATGTAAATCTACATAGGCGGGGCATACACTCTGTATAACGTAGGATACTACAATGTATACGTACGTGATGTCCAAGGACTTTCCCGCCAAAGTGCACCAGCATACTCTATGTGTAAAAATAAGAAAAACAGTGTCATATAAACATAGGCTCAGAAATGTTTGTATCATTTGTAAGATCATAACAATTGTACGAAGTGAAGTATAACATTTTTGAGTCTGTGCTTGTATGTGACAGTTTCTTTCTCTCTTTTATTTCTACCCATAGTGTATACTAGAATACTAGAATATTACAACACCAATAACAGTTCATATAACTTTTTTTTAAATTTAATAATCCTCCCAACTAAATATTAATTTAAATTTTACAGTAAATACAAAAAGTAAATTAATATGAAATTCTATAAGGTCTTATCGTCCCGTAGAAAAACTTTAACATTTTAATTAAAATTTTAAATTCATAATACATGTATGAGACAGTACATATTTCATTAATCCTTTCATTCCAGATTTCATTTAAAAATCAATTGATCATGCTACCTTCGTAGCGGTCAGTTATACTGCAGCCATTTAAATTTCATCGGGCAGATCGACTTGAAATTATTTTCAACAAGACATGTTCTTAATAAACAGGTGAATATATTTATTTTGCCTAATTCCTTACGCACCTGAACGTAAAAAGTGTCGAAGCAATTTTTCAAGCATGCTTCGTTAGGCGCCGTTGTATTACTAAAAGGTAGAAAAATGGATCGAATCACTCGGCGAAAGAGAGAATACTCACAAGGTTGCCTGAATTTCTTTGATGGTCTCGTCAGTGCTGAGCTCGTTCTTTATCTTGTTCAGCTCAGCCTGATAGTAATCCACGAGCGGCTTCATGTTCGGCTGCGCCTTCTTCAGGTGTTCCACCAAGTCGGTGCTTTCCGCTTTCACTTGCTCCAACGCGTACTCGTTCACCTCCTTCAGTCTCTTCGCCAGTTCGAGATTCTTGTTCTTAACGGCTTCCTGTAAAAACAAAAAGTTTAAACCAATTTAACTTTCATCGAGCTTGTGGTGACTCGACTCAGCTTTTGGACGATTAATTGTTCTACTTGCCAACAGTTCGGCAACGTTCTCTTTGCTGTAACCAAAGTCGGGCTTCAGGAACTGTTTCTCGTCCAAATGGACCAACGCGTGGAACAAGTTCTTCTTCGCGCCGTCTTTCAAAACGTCCGCGTGAATCTGCGCCAATTGACCGAGCACCACTTGGCCATTGACGCTCAATTTGGCCTTGGGGTTGTCTGAAACGAAGGGAACACGGTTGAGACGAAGTTCCAAAAATCGAATTCCATCCGGATTAAACTGTTCACCTTTCGAGTAGCCCTCGAGTTTGAATTTGTTGAAGCCACTGGCCTCCAGGGTTAGAACGCGAGGTGATTCGCCCAACAGAGACAGTTCCCTGTCGATCTTCTGCTTGTCCCTCGAGATATCGAGCTTCCACTCGTCCCTGATCAACTCCCGATCAGGCAATGTGACCAACAGCGAGACGTGGCTCGTGTCAGCGGAGAACAGAGCTCCCAAGGTCTTTGGTTTCTGCTTCACGTCGTTGTATGTGAACAAACTGCCGAATCCTATTTGCTTGGTCGACACAGTCAAGTGAGATTTCAAGTCGAGCTTCAGTTGTTGACCGCGGCTGTTCACCTCGACCAGGCCGGTCACGTTCCTGCCGTTGGCAATCTCTTGCTTCTGTAGATTCGCCGCGATCGTGATCTTCTGGGCACGCTTGGCGAACACGTCGATGTCTAGATTGGCGTTGAACAGTTGCTCGCCACCGTATTGGAGATTTCCTTTCACCACCATGTCCTGAAATCCCGATATCCTTTCTCCTCACGTTTCTTTGAAGTGCGCGGTTAATTCGCAGAATTGTACAAGGTGTTAAGGGGAAAAAGAAAATGCCAAACTGCTTGGAGAAACACGTAGAAACAAGCAAATGAAAGAAATCATTGGTTTCAGAGTTGTTGTTTGTCGCGTTTTTGTCAGCATGTGTTCGACGTCCTGTTCGTGTCAACACACACTTTTCCACGCATTTCTTTCAAATACACAGATAATAGGATCTGTTAGGTTCGAAACTTAGAAGTTTAAACATTTGGAAAGTTCGAAATTTGAAAGTTTAAAAATTTGGAAGCTCAGAATTTAGAAGTTTAAAAATTTGGGACATTTCGAAATTTAAAAATTTGAAAGTTTGAAAGTTTAGAATTTTGATTATTTGGAAAATTTGAAAGTTTGAAAGTCTGGAAATTTGGAGGTATAAAATTTGAAAATTTAAAAATTTGCAAGTTTCAAAATTAAAAGATTTGGAAGCTCGAAACTCTGAAGTTTAAAAAAAAATTTGGAACATTTCGAAATCTAAAAATTTGAAAGTTTAGAATTTTGAGAATTTGGAAAATTTGGAAGTTCAAAATTTGAAAGGTTGAAAATCTGGAAATTGGGAGGTATAAAATTTGAAAATTTAAAAATTTGCAAGTTTCAAAATTAAAAGATTTGGAAGCTCGAAGTTTAAGAAAAAATTTGGAACATTTCGAAATCTAAAAATTTGAACGTTTGGAGGTTTAGAACTTTTTGATTTATTTGGAAAATTTGGAAGTTCGAAATTTAAAAGTTTGAAAGTCTGGAGATTTGAAAATTTGAAAAATTCGAAAGTTCAAAATCTAAAGATTCGGGCTGGAAATTTACGAGTTTGAAAATCTGGAGATTTCGAGATTTAAAAATTTGAAAGATATGCAAGTTTAAAATTCGAAAATTTCTCAAAGATCTTGTACACCTCTTGTACAGAAGTTGCGAGGAGATTATGTATTTTACCTTTGGCTGCGTTGGATACGAGAACTTTGTTTCTCCGCTGAGGGACACGCTGTTCTTGTCGATGTTGATGTCTCCAGTGGCAGACAGGCTGGTCTTGTCGGATGGTTTGTTCTTTCTGTCCATATAAAGAGACGCGTCAATCTTGTACACCGCTGCTTGCTTGCTCTTTGGCAAATCGTACGTCAAAATGGCGGCGAGCTCGCGAGAGGGCAACGTTAATATGGAAGCTGTAACGAAAAGTATCGTAGATAAACCAAACCAACCCTATCGACTACTTTCAAACTACTTCGATAACCACGTATCCCTTGTTCTTGCCTGCTTCTTTAGGATGTATGTACAGTTGATAAGTGTATTCAGTCTTGTCCTTGGAAGAATGGAGGTAGAGGTTCGTTGTGTGATCGAAGACCGGGTTTTTCAGCTCGGTACTGGTCTTCAGACCAAACTCCACAGGCACGTTGAACTTCTTCAGGTCTACTTCCACCGTCACTTGATGTTTCAGCGGAGTCTTCTCTGAAAATTGAAGCGAAACTTTCGCGTATTTCAGATTTGCGATTCCGTGTGAAGTTGAGTAATGCCACAGAATCACTTTATTTTTCAATTGATTCTAAACTCCACACGAGTCCGCGTAAATAGGCATTTCGTTTTTTACAAAAAGTCATGCACATCGACGTAGTTTTCTTTAAATAGCTGCTGGCCTAACAGTTTGATCAACAGATATCGCCGTTACTCACGTTGAACGTTGACGATGGATTGTAGCTTGAAGAGAGCGCAGTCCTTGCTCTGCTCGCAGTAGCTATTGAAAATGTGCAGCTCCTTGTTGGAGAGTTTCAGTTCGCCGACGATGGCGGACGGGCCGAAATTCGCGTTCAACACTATCGCCACGCCGACTTCTCCGTCCTTCTCCCGGCTGAGTTGTTGCCGCGTGTACTTGAACGATGAGCTTCGGGTATTCTCGCCGACCTTCAAGTTCCCGTTGCCCTCCACCACGATCTTACCATCCTCGTCGCGTCGTTTGTAGTTCGTACTGGATATGTAATGCAATATTAACCTATTGTGTTTATATTCTGATGGGGTTATATAACCTACGCTCACGTCTTGGAAGAGCTTGAATCTTATCTGTCTGTTTAGATGTTTAACACACAATTGCAATACCTTCCGGTCACGATGTTCTTGCCGTCGCTGGTCACCGTGATGGTGATGGTTTTCCCGTTCTTCGCCGTTGGCTTGTTGGCGATCTCAGCGTGGATCTTGCGGTGCTTGACCTTGTCGCTGTCGAAATTCGCGTTGATCACGAAATTGTCGATGCTCTCGAGGTTCACGTGCGCGTCCGCCTTCACGAACCCTTTCGGAGTGTCCACTCTCCATTCGCCTGTGCGTGGTTTCAACGACAAGAGACGAATCGTCAAGAGACAGGCTTAGAAATTTCGCGATTCTCGAATCGAATGCTCGAGTATTCACCTTGGTACTCCTTGTCGTTGAGTTTCTGGAATTTCGAGAGCACCTCCCTTTTCCCATTCGGGCACGTGGCCACCACGTGGAACAGGCTGCTCGTGTCCAGCTGCTGGATCTCGCTGTTCAGGGTGTACTTGTTGCCGTCAGCAACGACTTTGCTGTCGATCGACACCTTGTTCTCCTCTTCCAATCTCTGTAAATACAAATTCTGTTGAGGACAGTCGCCATCGCGTATAATCCCCCTTAGGGTTCGAAGGATCACCCACTCTTGTGGAAAAAGGAATAACTATCGATCGATCTTTCCTTGCCTTGATTTTATTCTGTATCAACGAGGAAACGTACCGACTTTGATGAAACTTGAAGGGGTGAAAACTACCCTCAAATACCTCAAGAAAGAAATTACTGAGTCGAAATCGATGAAATTTGAAACTATTTATACAATTTATTCTATGTTAAAGAAACCCTTGGCCTCCTAACAAAGGCGAAGTGAAATTAATTCTCTCGCCGGGGAGCAAGGAGCAACTAATCCCCATCTCGGGATTTTCACTAACACATCGTACGTTACCTAAAGTATCATCCTGAAATGGAGATACTTTAGTGGAGGAAAGTACCGTGTAGAGGAGCTGCAAGTCAACGTTGCGCAGTTTCTCGAGGAGCAGATTGCCTTTAGCCTTGATATTGATGGTGGATACTGTGGGAAGATACTCGTTGTCGGACCTGAACGAGATCGCCTTCTCCCCGTACTGGGCGTCCAAAACAATCGTAGCTGTCTTCTTCTCGGGCGTCGGGTTGTACTTGTAATTGCCTGACAATTGCACGCGAGGAAGATCCAGAATGTTCAGGGCTAGTTTCCCTTGACCCTCGCTGGGATTCGTGATCGCGTTGTTCACTCCTTTCAGCTCCAGTTCCGAGTCTAGCTCGATCTTTTTGTCGTTGTTGTACGTCAGTCTCACGCTGTCCGTTGCTTTCGTGACGTCCGACTCGTCCGAATGCAACAAACTCGACGAAACTTCCAGTTTCAAGTTACTCAGTTTCTCGCTGGGTAGTTTCACCTCCAACACACCGTCCCTTCTCCACGGTTTGTCGACGTTGTTTCCTTTTCTTAGATTTACGTTGCTCTGTAACGTTGGAAATCAATCAGCTGTCGATCGTCTCGATGTTGTTTAAACTGTTAAGAATTTCGTACAACGATAGACGTGAGAACGCCTTTCCTCTCGAAAATCCTATAAATTGTCGCCGATTTTTCTAAGAAAATTTTCGAGTCCTTTTCTTTAGAGTAAGATCTCCTGAAACTTGATGTACGATTCTTGTTTATCGTTTCGTCGTTTAAACCAGCTCCCACTATACGTACAAAATTCGATAAAATCGTACATCGAGTTTTGAGGAGCCATTGCAAATACGAGGCTACAGCCTGCAAATCTATTGTAGGATTTAGTTAATATTTTCACACGCTATGACAGTCTGTCCTCTGCGCGATGTAAAAACATCTTGGAATAAAATCTTGGATTGTCGTACGACTTTGTTTTACGAAATTGTAACAGTTTGAGTATTTAATGTTCGAACATTCAAGTGAATTTAACGCTAGATTAAAAAAAAAAAAAAAAAAGACTTCTATTCGTACAGTGCTTTGCAGTTACAAAATTTCCAAGGAAAATTGTAAATTACGATAGTGCGAAAAAAAGAGCTTCTAAGAAAGAAAAGTAGAAAAGTGGATCGGATCTCGTACCGACAATGACAAATCGTCTCCCAACGACGACTTGACGTTGTACGTTCTAGCACCGTCGGTCTTGACAGAGTCAACCTGGAATTGCAACTTTCTCGGGACTCTAGCTCCGTCCAGCTCCACGCTCAATTCCGTCAGCCTCTTGTTGTCCGGTTGCTGCAGGTTCTTCGCGTTCCACGTCAATCGCGCGTCCTTGCCATCCTTGTTGACGTAGTTCGCGTTGCCGTTGACCTTGAAGGTCGCCGCGATCGTGTCGAGGTCCTGCAGGTCGAGACTGACGGCCAACTTCCTCGACGGTCCGCCCTTCTGCTCGTAGTCGGTCAACTCGCTCGACACCTTCACGTCGTACTTGTTCTCCCTCTTCGCGGCATCGCGTTTCCCCTTGTAGACGAGGTGTCGCCCGTTTGGCAGAGTGACGTCCGCCTCCACTTGGAGTTGACCTTCTCTCAGGCTGCCCTGCAACTGACCCTTGACGTTCGCCTCCAGCTTGTAGTTCAATACCTCGATCACGTTCTTCGTGTCGAGGGACGTGGCGGTGACGTCGGAGACGCTGGACACCTTGACGCGTTTGCTGGGATCATTCTCGGCGTCGTAGAGGAGCTCGAGGTTCAGCACCTCTTGGGTACCGGAACCGACGAGCGAGCCGGTCGCCTTGATCTTCCGATTGATCTTGGGAATATTCACGTCCAAGTTGGCGCTTCCTTTGCGGTCTTTGTAAGAGTACTGGCCGCTGGCTGTCAGGTAGTTCCTCAGATCGACGTTCAGAGTGCCGCTCGGATTCGGTGTTCGCGTGGTCTTCAGATCGAAGTCGATGTACGTCACGCCGTCGACTTTCGCGTTGACGATCGCGTTCAGGAGTTGAGGATTCGCCTGCAAGCCGGTGCCGAGCTTCACCTTCTTCCCGTTCAGGTCCAACTGTCCGTCCAGTTGCAGGTTCAAGTTGCTCCTGCCGATGTCGTGAGTGACGATCGCATCGGCGCTGTACTTGCCGCCTGGTTGCAGCCGAAGGGAATTGGTGAACTGGCTCTTGCGTGCCTCGAGCACCACGCGTTTCGCCTTCAGCTCGACGCTGTTCTCCATCAGCTCGGCCTCCAGCTCGACCTCGTAGTCGCCGGGCTTCTCCGTGTCCATCTTGGCGGACAGTTCGGTCCCGTACTTGAACGTTTTGTACTTGGCTTCGAGGGACGCGCTGACCGACTTGCGGGTCAGTTTCCCTTCGCCTTTCAATTTCAAATTGACCACGGGGTAAGTGAGCTTGCTGGACGCGCTCACGAGGAGATTCTTGGGATCGAGCTTGTAAACGGCCGACTGTATCAAAGACAGCCGGTTGATCTCGGAATTTGGATCGGCTCCGTGAATGAACACGAACTTGTGGTCAATGTCGTTCTCGCCTCTCTTCAACTCCCAGTTCAAGTTGAATCCAATGTTGGGATCGCTGGACGGCATGCCGGAAACGGAGAGTTTGAAGTCGTTCTTGCTCCACTTGCCGTCCAGTTTGAAGGCGATGTTCTTGTCGGTGTAGCCGACAGTGGTGTCCGCCTTGACGCTGTTGGGCGTCCACGCGAGTGTCCCGTCGACGACGAACAGCTTCTGATCACCAGCGACCAGGGCCACCTTGTCCAACACGTATTTCTGGCCACCTTCGTGATTCGAGACGTCGACCGAGCCCTCCACGTTGTACTGTTGACTCGGCCCGAGGCCAGTTCTCGCGCTGGCCAACTGTTGAATGTGCTCCGGCAGCTTGTACTCGAACACAGGCGTGTATTTGCTGCCGCTGGCTAACAGTCCAACGCGACCGCGGAACTCCATCTGATCGTGATTGATGGTAACAGTGAGCGTGCGTTCCTTGGCCGTGTTCTTGAGCACGGCCTCCGCCGTGGCGGTTTTGATGGGCGAGTTGAAGGCCGCCCTGACGTACACGTTGGGCTCGAGGCCTGCCTCCACGCTCAGCGCCACGCGTCTGTTAGTTTTGCTGTTCGGCGTGTCCAGAAGAATCTCGAACGAACGTTTCTTCTCGTCCCGGACGTTGAGATCCAGTTTGAATCGGTAGCTGGTGACGTCGTTGTTCTCCAAGGTGACCGCGAACTTGGCCGGTCCGTTCAGAGGGAACAGAGGTCTGCTCGGATTGCCGACGCTGCTGGAGTCTCCACCGTGAGGGTATGAAACCTGCCCGCAGACGGTTATGCCGAGAACGGTGGACAGTTGTTCGAAACAGTCGGAATATTCTTTGCCCTTGACGAACTTAGGAGCTACGTATTCGTTCCTTTTGGCGCCAGAGGAGAGCAACACCTCGCTCTGCACGTTCACGATCTCCTGCTTCTTCTTGGGGATGCCGAAGTTGATGTCGACGCCGTGGCCGTCCAACAGAGCGACGGATATGTCGGAGCTGGTAGCTGTGTGAAGAGTGGTGACGATCCTCATGCCAGATTCGGCACCAGGCGCCTGCACCACCAGGTTCCCGGCGATTCTCACGGACACGCTCGGCTCCATCGCGACTCTAAAGTTGGCGTTCTTCGGATCCTTCAGGATAGCTTGGAGATCCAGTTTCCCGTAGGTCTTCAAACGAAGCGCGCTCGTGCCAGTGAGACCGAGGCTCAGCGCGCTTCCCAACCCGGTCGGATAGACAAGGTCGCTGTCGAGGAACTGCAGATAGTTCTCGAGGTCGTAGTTCAGGTTCTTGACGACGTTGAAGCCCTTCTCGAGGTGGTCGATCGCTTTGTCGATGATCGCTTCGGGGTTCAGCTTGTTGCTGTCGCCCTGGTAGCTCAGATAGGCGAGCTCCACGCCGAACAACTTGACGGACAGGTCGACGTCCAGGTCTTGATCGACCTCGTTGTGATTCAGCTGAACGTTCTTCGCGAATTTGTCCAATTCTCCCTGCTTCACTTCGCGCCTCGACCTGACGATCCTCTCGTACCGTTCCTTCGCGTACTTGCCGAGCTTGTTAGCCGCGTTCGCGCCCGTCTTCAAGTCCTCCAAGTCCTTCTCCCAGATCTTGCCCTTCGGCCCGAAGTACTGCTCGAGCAGCCGGTCCAGGTTCTCCACGCGCGTGTTCAGCTCGAGGAAATTGAAATTCCGGCCGAACAGCTCCATGGTCATGTTCAAGCTCGTGGAACGCGGCACGAAGCTGTTCTGGCTGTATATCACGTTGTTCTCGAGAGTCGAGCCAACGCCGAGCGAGTCGATCTTGTAGGACAGCTCGTTGTTGAAGGAGAATTTGCGAAAGTCCTCGGGGAACTTGCTTCGTGGCTTGATCTGTCCAAGGTGAGCCTTCGCGTCGAGTTTGCTGGGATCGGTCGAGGCTCTCAGGTTCCTCAGGTGGCTCTGAATGAACGATCCAACCTGATTCACCGTCTCTTTGTCCAGTGTCTCTTTCAACTGATTGGCAACGTGCGGGCAGGGGCAGGCGACCAGTGACAAGTACGCCTTGATCCTAACCTCGCTGTCCTCCTCTCGATCGGCCAGCACCTTGAACAGGATGTTCTTCCACTTCATCGTGCACCTGTTCGGCAGTGCCTCGATGGCGGCCACTCGCACGCGGTTCCGCACGTTCTTGTCGGCGCCGATGTTGGCCAATTTCTGCAGCGTGGCGTCGTCGAGGAACCGAGTGTTGCCCAACGCCTTCAGCGCCGAGACGACCGTGTTCTCCTGCTCCCTGGTCTTCGTCTTGCCGTTGCCTACCTTCTCGCGGATCTTGTGCACCGCCTGCTTCACCTCCGGCACGTTCTCGCAGGGATGGTCCTGGCAGTACTTGCCAATCACCTGTCCGACACCGAGGTAGCCGAGTCGGGGTAAGTCGGGCTGGTCGAGAAGCGTCGCCACCACGGCCACCGACGGCAGATTCACGTGACGGATGGTAGTGAGGCTCGCGTAGAACAGAAGAGTCTGCACGCTCGAGAGCTCGTTGTTCTTGACGAGATCGACGCCGACCTCGGCGGCCTCTCCGCTCCTCGCTCGGAACAGACCGTCGAGGAACAGCTTCTGCTCGCTCTTGTCGGGACGGATCTTCTGGTACACGGAGAGGATGTCGTTCTTGCTGCTCAGCCTCAGCACCTTCACCAGCTCGGCGAATTTCGCAGCGGCCGCTGGCTTCACGCCTCCGGCCGCTTCAGCCTTGGCGGCTTTCAGCGCGTTGTTGATCGCTTCCGGGGACGATTGCAACACCGGATGCGGTGCCTCGAAGATCAGCGACTTGGGCTGAGACACCTCCGCCGCGGCAGGACTGTCGCCCTTTTGGTTCTTCAGAGTCAGCGTTGTTTCCACGATGGTCTTGGCGCCGGCGTTCCCGTTGCTGAACGGGACGAGATTGTACACTTCCTTCGACACGGCCTTGTTCAGAACGCCGCGTTTGAATCGTTGCTCGATCGACTGCTGGGACGCGAGCAGAGGGGCGGACTTCACGCCGGCTGTTGTGTCCGTGTTGCCGGAGACGAGCGCGTGGTTCACGTTCTCGCGGAACGCGCACCCGGCCAGGTTTCTGTTCTTGTTCACGATCAGCGAGTCACCCTCCTTGCGGAAGCTGAACTGCGTCGGACAGGATCCCATCACGTCCGTCTGGAAAATTTGTTAAACACTTTTTTTTTCTTTTTCCGCTGTGCAGATATTTCTGCAACGTGGGACAACATTTCGGTACTTAAATTTCCTTGCGCCTGTTGGCTCGAGGATCATAGCTTAGTTCAGGGGTGGATGCGTTTCACGATTTCTGCTAGCAATTAATTGTCAAGTTAATTGGAGTAATTTTCCAATTGTCCTTCTTATACGTTTACTACTTGAAAGCACTATTATTTTCGTCGTTAAAGTAATTCAGTGGCGCGTCGAAGCTCACTCGAGAGGGGAAAAAGAATTGGCCACGTAGTGCTACAAAAGTTTGCCCACCGCTGGCTTAGTTGAATATTGTTTCAGGTTTCACGAACCTCGTGGCGTGTCGTCGAACCGCTATCCTGCACAACGGCCGATTGGAACAGGGAGACAACTGCTCTCTTGATGTTAAGAGACGCTTGGGAGTCACCTGGTTCGGTGCAGAGCTGGGTGTCGATGTGGCCATCGTGGTAATTGAATTGGACCGCAAATCGCTCAACGTCTGGCGTCGATGGCGGCTGGGAAATATATATATATAT